TCCCATCGCTGGGTGGCATGATTCTGGAATCCCGGGATCACTTACCCATGCATGGGTGAAATCTACCATCGCTGGGTAGATGGCTAGCCCAGAACCATGGCCTAGCTGACCGGCGCTGAAACCCGACCGAAAAATGCAAAGTTCTCCAAAGTAAAAACTAAGTATATAAAACACTTATTTAATGTATTTTGATGTCAAAACAAGCTTTGTAAGTTGAAAACCACGTCGTTAAGGTAAAAACCACGGTTGACCAAGTCAACACCGTACACGGGTGGTTTTCACCAAAAGACAAAACCGAAAGGTGGTTTTCATGATGTTTTGATTGGAGAACCATTTAAATTCATTCAAAAACAATTCCCACACAAAAAGACTCGAAAACCACTTCATTTAAGTAAAAACCACGGCTAGCTAAGTTAATGCCGTTTCACATGGTTTTTATCAAACGACAAAAAACGAAAGGTGGTTTTTGAAGTGTTTTTGATGAAAAACTATTTAAATGTGCCCAGAAGTAAAAACCAGTCATAAAAAGTTGAAAACCATTTGGTTAGTTCGGACGCCAAAAACCAACGCCGAAAACCGAATGTCGAATGCCGGTTTCTGAAACCCGAACGCCGGATGGCTTGGTTTTTGGTTTGGGCGAACACCAAGTGTTTTTAATGACTTAAACAAGTTTGAAAAACATTTTTATGATGTAATAAATGCAATGAGAGATTTTAGGCTAAAGAGCCAAGGTGTAAAGATTAGGTTGGTCTTGATCACAATAAAGACCGACTCAATACTATGATTAAGGTCTTCGTTCTTGGTCTTCGTTTAACTCTTGCTCTTATCTTCGTTCTTCGCCTTGTATATTCAATGTTCGACTTGATCACGGCGGTTTGGCATTATCAAAACCTGTTACAAAAACGAACACGACTTTAGTACGAAAACGTGATAAACCCGTGTTTCAACATTATTGTAAACTTTCACCTTTTTTCAACTCTCCTTAAAAAACACATAAAGTCAAAATGGGAAGATCTTAGAGGGACGGAGGGAGTATTATTCTTATTAAGTAGTTTATGTGTAGAATACTTGTTATTTGTGCCATAAATACTTAATATTTATGAAAACTAGATTTTATATTTTCTGGGATGTGTTTGACATGTCAATATAACTCAGAAATTTTAAAATCGATTTTTGGACTTAATTTCCTATTTTTCTATTTTTAAATTCGTTTATTGAATAGAAAATAGGAAAGCATATTTTTGACGATCAAAAATTAATTTTAATTATTAATAAGTTGCGACCAGAGATTTTAAGCTTGTATATGTAACGCCCCAAAAATAGGCCTATTAGAGTTAATTAATTTATAATTAATTAATTACTGAGAAGGACCCAAAAATAAGTAAATTCTAAAGTTTGTCAATAAATAATGAAAATCATATCATTATGTAGAGTTTGACTATCTGATCCCAACGGTTCAATCGGATTTCAATTTGGAGAAAGTTGGAACAAAAAGTGCACCCCAACTGGGACCAAAATTAGTCCCAATCAGGGACTACACACCAAACGGCGCCCTGTTCAATTACGCCGATTCCAAATCGTCGCTCAATCACGGAAGCTACAAACCTGTGTCTTCTTCTTCTCCACTGGCCTATTTAAGCACAACTCAACTCCCTCAAATCTTCACCAAAAACATTCATTCTTCCTCCTATATTGTTCCTTGCTGAGAGTAGAGTGCAGTGGTGCTGTCATCTTTGTGTGAGGTCGCCGGAGCAGTGAGATAGAGTCGCCGGAAGGTTCGCCGGAAAATCTTCAAAACCTCCCCTACGCTTCAAGGTAAGCCCGTAGATATATCTAAAGATTAGAATGTTCATATAGGTTGTTTTTACGTTCATAAATGGTCATTTGGTTGAGTTTTGTGTTTGACATGTTTGAAGAACCAAGAATCATAAACCTTGAATTTGATGTTAAAAATATGTT